TGCAGCAACAGAGAAAAGGTGTGTGTGATCAAACACGCGTGCATTTCACACACGCTGAAGAGCGGCGGATGATAATGATGGAGCGATCATGATAACAGCACTTCTGCCTCACATGCTGAACACCCCTCCATCTCACAGCACTGCTAATCTGTGTGTGTGTGTGTGTGTTAGAGCTGATCTGTGCTGCTTACGGCCCGTTAACAGCATCACACACACACAACAGGAGTGACACACACACACACACACACATATACACATGCACAGTACACAAACAAATAAACACATACATGTGCACACACACGTATACATTCCAAATGAACACACACACACACACATCTGCAACACACTGATCTAACCCTAACCATGACCCATCGCAGTGCTAATAACCCACCACAGACAAACACACAGATGAACTTGACCCCGCTGACCTTTCAGGAGCTCCACTGATCAATACACCGACACACACACACACACACACGTTACATCTGTGTATGTGTGTGTCTGACAGTCCAGCATGTGCACACACACTCCTGTCTCTCTCTCAGCTGTCAGGATCATCTTCATCCTCCTCCTCCTCTTCAGCTCCATCTTTTATTTATCTCTGTTTGGCTTTATTTCTGCAGAGCATTACACACTGACAGACAGAGAGAGAGAGAGAGAGAGTGTGTGTGTGTGTGCTCCTGAGAGCCCGGGGCCTGCAGGAATCCCCTCAGCTGATGGTTTCCACACACACTCAGCGCAGCGATAACCCCTGTCAGATCCGGAACCGAAACTGAAGTTTCCGAACCGCAGAACCGCGACACGCAGCGCCATGCAGTGACGTCAGCAGGGTCAGGAGCGCGCAGGGCAGCTGAGCAGAAATGAGGCTCTGCGTCTTTAAATCGCCATTCCTCCACCCTCCGCCAGTGCTCCATCTACAGCAGATAAAGAGCCGCTATTGTGTCCTCCCTCTGCGGCTGACAGAGCGCTGAAAGGACACAAACCCGCACCAACACGGCCACACAGCGCCAAGCTCAATAGAGATGCTTGATATGCGCAGCGCCGAACACACAGGCCACGGTTCCGGTGCTCCACACGGCCGGGCTCGTGTGTTCGGTGCAGTCCTGCTGCTCGAGTTGACGTGACAGCTCGACATCAGGCGTCGGTGTAGAGCCCTGGCGCTTTCAGCAAAATAAACACACACACACACACACACACACACACACACGCACACACACACACACACACACACGCACGAGCCTCGCCACATCTGACATTTCAGCAAAACACACACACACACATACACACTAAACTGAACCGAGCCGCGGACACACACGGAGGCTCAGGCCGACGAAAAGCTCCGACATCGAGCTCCACTTCCGCGCAGATATAAAAGCGCTGCGATCACGGAACCGAGCTGCGGCCCCGGTAGCGCCGCGGTATTCCTCCCTTTGTTCGCCGTAAATCCAGCAGTCAGCGTCGTTTTCACCGCGCGTCCGTCATTAACGGGTGTTTCCATCATCCACACTCACTCACTCACCGACTTGTAATACGTTGTCCACACAGCCGCTCTCCAGCAGCGCGATGCCGCGGCGGAACGGTAACCGCGTCTCGTCCGTGCTCTCGCCGCCGGCCGCGCTCTCCTCTCCGCCCGCGTTGAAGGAGGAGTACATGCAGATCTCCCGTTCGCTCCTCGGGAACGACCAGTACACGATCCGCCGCTGCACGGGCTCCGGGATGCGCTCGAACCGCTCCTCCACCCGCTGGAACGGCCACTTCTCCGCCACTCTGCGCGCCGCGATGTCCAGCAGCGTCTCCGGGCTCCGGCTCTTGCTGGATCCGCCGTGACCGGAGCCCGGGCCGCCGCACAGCGATCCGCCGAGCCTCTGTCCCGGTCTGCAGGTCGAGCCGTACCCGGGCCGGCAGCAGAGCCGTTTCGCTGCGGGCTGCAGAACGCGCTCCGCCATGATCGCTCTGCTTTAACGGCAAGGGCGGAAGTCGCCGTACTAAATAAACGGGATACGGAGAGGAAAAGCTGCGACGCGCATCGATTGTTCGCCGTGTAAGGACGGCCCGGACTTATTTGGTCAAAAGGGCGGGGCTTCGGCCTCTTTGTGTAGACAAAACAAGAAGGGGGCGTGGACCGTGCGTCTACAGCCGTGCTAAAAAAGGACTGGAGGGGCGGAGCTCTCGCGTGTCAGCGGAGGCGTAACGAGTGTCAGAAGTTCATAACAGGAAAACCGGGCCGCTGTGGAGACGCTGCTCGGTTCGGCTCCGTTAAACACACACACACACACACACACACACACACACACACACACACACACACACACACACACACACACACACACACACACACACGATGGATGGAGCAGAGGCGCCTCTCTTGTATCTGGAATCATGTTGATGGTCATTTAGCAGAGATCAGCAGTGTCTCACTCACTGTTTAAACATATCAGAGATGATGATGATGATGATGAGGATGAGGATGATGATGATGAAGATGATGAGGATGATGATAATGATGAGGATGAGGATGATGATGATGAGGATGATGAGGATGATGAGGATGAGGATGATGATGATGAGGATGATGATGATGATGATGAGGATGATGATGAGGATGATGATGATAATGATGAGGATGATGATGAGGATGATGATGATAATGATGAGGATGAGGATGATGATGATGATGATGATGATGATGATGATGAGGATGAGGATGATGATGATGAGGATGATGATGAGGATGATGATGATGATGATGATGATGATGATGATGATGAGGATGATGATGATGATGATGAGGATGATGATGATGAGGATGAGGATGATGAGGATGATGATGAGGATGATGATGATGATGATGATGATGATGATGATGATGAGGATGATGATGATGATGATGATGATGATGAGGATGATGATGAGGATGACGATGATGATGATGATGATGATGATGATAATGATGAGGATGAGGATGATGATGATGATGAGGATGATGATGATGATGATGAGGATGATGATGATGATGATGATGATGCTAAAGAGGATGATGAGGATGATGATGATGATGATGAGGATGATGATGATGAGGATGAGGA